TCGGCTGCTGTCCTGAAGGACTGTGGACACCAGGCTGCCCTGGAGCCCTGCTGGTTTCCTTAGCCAGGTTCTCAGGTCCTTTTGAGGGTGTGAGCTCCTCACCCTCTGCCAACAGCAGCCAAATACAGGTCCATCATATACAACCCCCAAGCAGCCCAGAGCAGACACCCTCTACTGAGGGTTGAATTCCATAGCCAGCCCTGGGTCGAGCACTGCTTTAAAAAAAGGAACCAGAAACCACAGCCCACAAGGCCAAATCCTGACCACCCTGGCCTCTTTTTATATGCCCAGCCAGCTAAGAATGGTTCCATAATTTTAAAGGATTGTGAAAGACAAATCAAAAACAAAAACAAAAAATGCACAAAGAAAATGCAACAGAGAAGAGATCTTATGTGACCCACAGTGTTGAAACTCTTTACCCATCAAATCCATGTCATCTCACTCTGTGAGCCACTGCCCCACCTTCAAGTCCCGGGCAAGTGCCCCAGGGCAGACTCCCCCTGGGGTTCTACAGGGAGATGTCCCAAACAACAGAAGAGACTCTGATGGGGCAGAGGGCCCAAGGTGACCACAAGTGCGGGCCTCCCACCCACAGCACATCTGAGCCCTCCATCAGTGCTGGGCTGCAAAGCTCTGCTATTAGGCTTTGGCCTTTCAGGGAAGGCACGTTTATAGAATGGCCAAATAAACACAACTTGAAACACTTACCTTGAATTATTCAAAAGAGGCTTTTGTAGGCTTCCTACCCACCCCACACTGCAGGCTGCACCACATTGGTCTCCACTCAGTGACCAACCTCCAGCCATTTTTTTTTTTTTTTTTGGTACCAGGAAGAGTCTCAAATGGGGCACATGACCTCATTTCCCACCACTCCCTACTGCCTCCTCTCCCACTCACCTTCCTTCCTTACATTACCCACTTGGACCCTGTGGGCGTTTGGTCCTAGACAAGGTGTGCAGGATTGGCACTGCTCACTCCCTTGCCTGGCCTACTTTTCTTTTCTTTCTTTTTTTGTGAGACGGAGTCTTGCTCTGTCACCTAGGCTGGAGTGCAGTGGTGTGACCTCGGCTCACTGCAACCTCTGCTTCCCAGGTTCAAGTGATTCTCCTGCCTCAGCCTCCTGAGTAGCTGGGGTTACAGGCATCCGCCACAACACCTGGCTAATTTTTTTAATTTTTATTTTTAGTAGAGACAGGGTTTCACCATATTGGCCAGGCTGGTTTTGAACTCCTGACCTCAAGTGATCCACCTGCCTCAGGCTCCCAAAGTGCTAGAATTACACGTGTGCGCCACCACACCAGGCTTGGCCTGCTTTTCTTACCTACCTTTGCTTCAGCTGGCCTTACAGTAGCGTGCCTTTCCCTACCTGATTTGTAGTTGAACGCCTTCCAACTTAAAAATTTCAGTTAGAATTGGAATACCACTCCCTATTTTCCATGTGTGTGCGTGCATGTGTATATATTTGCCTGCTAGATGATGAGCTACGAGCTGCTCCAGGGTGGAAACTGGGTTGGTTTCCTCTCTACACACACTGGCCTAGCATAAGGCAGGCACAGATAAGTGTCCAGAACATTTAGAAAATAAATGAACAGCCACACTTTACTTCCCCACATGTTCCGTGGATGTGAGGCCTCCCCCTGCTCCAGCAGGGACCCCAGCATATACCTTTTTGTCCCTGAGAAAATGCTTTGCCTGAAATAACTGAGTTATTGGCATGTAGTGAGCATAGGCAGTGCCACACAGGTGAGGAAAGGCAGGCGTTACCTTCATCAGCTGTCTTCGTCCATTTGGCTGTGACAGCAGAATACCACAGACTGGGTGGCCTGTAAACAACAGGGTTATTGCTCACAGTTCTGGAGAGTAGGAAGTCCAAGATCAAGGAACCGGCAGATGTGGTGTCTCGAGAGGGCTCATTTCCTGGTTCATGGGTGGTGCTTTCTCACTGCATCCCAAGGGGCAAGGCAGCTCTCTTGGGTCCTTTAAATAAGGGCACTAATCCCATCACGCGGGCTCCATCTTCATGACCGAGTCACCTCCCCAAAGGCCCTATCTCCTAACAGCATCATCTTGGAGGCTAGGATTTCAACATATGAATTTGGGGGGACACAAACATTCAGCCCACAGCACTAGCCCCCTTCTCTGGGCCAGAGAGTTAACAGGAACAGAGAGACAGGGGCAGCCTACCGCCTTCCCACCACCACTGTCTCACAGCCAATGCCTGGTGCAGTATCAGATTAGAGCTCATCTCATGCAAGCCCCGACCCTCTCCTGGCCAAGTAGAGCTGAAAGCCCAAGTTTCCCAGGATGCCATGGTACAGATGTGCATCAGGGATGGTGCTGGTGACCCCGGGTCAGATCCCAGCTTTGCAGCATGATTTGAAGTTCTTTCTAACCAGAGGTCAAACTCCAGCTACAAGTTTAAATACTGACTATAGATGTGGAGAATAACATTTGTTGGGGGTAAAAAGTTGAGTTATTAGCCCTTTAAAAACAAGAAACATTTCTTGAGTTATTAACCCTTTAAAAACTTTGTTTTTAAAGGGTTAATAACTCAACTTTTTCCTGAAATGAACATGTATTTCTTCTGTAAGAACAAAGTTGGCCAGGCACGACAGCTCAGGCTGCACGTGGTGGCTCATGCCTGTGATCTTAGCACTTTGGGAGGCTAAGACGGGTGGGTTGCCAGCTTGGGCAACATGGTGAAACCATGTGTCTACTAAAATACAAAAAGTCAGCTTGGCGTAGTGGCAGGTGCCTATAATCCCAGCTACTCAGGAGGCTGAGGAATGAGAATTGCTTGACCCTGAGGGGAGTGGAGGTTGTAGTGAGCTGAGATCCTGCCATTGCACTCCTGCACTCCAGCCTGAGAAAAAAGTGAAACTTTGTCTCAAAAAAAAAAAGAAAGAAAAATAGAAAAATGTTATAAAATGTATACTTAGCCCTATTTAAAAAAAAAACACCCTACAGTCATAAAAGAATGCATCAGTTCAGCTTTGTGGCAGACCTTCTCCCAAATTCCCACAGGAGAGAGAAAGAAGGTGAAACAGGTCCATGTTACCCAGGAACTTGAGAGAGGGACACTGCGCACCCCAGCCTGCCCTGAAAACAGGGGTGGGGTGTGGCCCTCTCTCACCTCAGCCCTGGTATTGTGGTGGGGGCTGGTGACCAAGCCATCTGCGGGACAAAACCTGAGCTACATGACCCTGCCCCCTTCCCAGGCCCCAGACAAGCTTCTTACTCCTTGGAAGGATTCCTGCCTTAGCTCCTGCCTGTCTCTCCACTTCTAGCTGTCCTTGAATCCTGACCCCAGATCAGTCTTCTCAGATTTTCCCTAACTGGGGATTTTTTTGTGTGTACCCTACTCATGCCCCATCCACCCTATCCCAGCCTCTCAAGAGGGGCGGGGGTGGGGGGGTGGGTGGAGCAGTATGGCTTCCTGCCCCACACCCAGGCCTGGCCCTAATCCCTGCTACTCCTAGTGCCCCATCATCTTAAATCTGAGCTGAGGACTGGCCTCCCTGAGGCAGGACACTCGTCTGAGTCATGACACCTGTGATGTCTCCCCTGGGTTCCCTGAACCCCACGCACTCCCCACTATGGGCATCACTAAGTGGTTCCCCTAGAATCTCCCTCTCCACGCCGTGGAGTGATCCAGTGCAGGACTCCCAGCTGCAGGCCTCAGTGCCCTGCACCCCCCATCTTCACCACCGAATCACCTCCCCAAAGGCCCTATCTCCTAATAGCATCATCTGGGCCTTCTGCTGAAGTTCAGGAGGCCCTGCGGTCCTTGGGCTGGGCTGTCTCAGGGCCACACTGAGATGTGCCTGGCATTTTTACATCTGGAAGGGCAAAAGGGAATCAGGAAGAACAGGTGACAAACCCAGGTCACCCTGCAGCCATAGCCCAGTCAGATTCCGGCAGAGTTGGGCTGGTGGAAACTGCTAGAGAGAGGACCCTGATGACAGCATGAGAGTTGGCAAAAGTCCAGCCTGGACCCCATAGGAGTTGGAGGAGGCCCTCACCCCACTGTGGGCCCCATAACCCTCCCCAGATCCTAGCAAAAATGTCACAGGGAAAAGCAGTCCAACAGGGCCTGTGGCCAGAGGATGGCAGGTACATTCCTCAGCTACCAGGACAGCCATGGGACCCAGCTGGGCAGTTTGTGTTGGTGGTAGTGCCTGGGAAAGGTGAGCAGATCTCTGGGTTGTTTGGGAGAAGCCAGATCAATGAGCAAATCTCCCAACTATCAAGTGCTTGGAAAAGGCTGTGTAGGTGAAGCAGCCAGGTCTTTGGCTCACTTGCTGGCCATCGGGGTTGAGGCACGTCTAGAAAGTGTGGCTGGGGCCAGCTGTGGAGAGCAGCCTGGGCTGTGGACACCAAGACCATTGGGAGTAGAGTCAGCACCCTGCTCCCCCTGTAAGCACAGGTATGGGGACCAGCTCAGAGAGGCACCTAGGCATGGCCCCACATCTTCACTCCTCCAAAAGGGCAGAGCCTGGGCCCCCTGATCCAGACCAGGCCTCCTTTCCTGGCTTCCTCTGGCTGCCTTCTTAACCACTCCCTTGGGCCTCAGACTCTAGTTCCAGCACAATCAAAGAGTCAGGACTGTACTTGGTTGCAAATGACAGAAGTCACTTCAGAGTACCTCAAGCAAAGATGAGAATTTATTGAGCCCTAATACTAAGAAGTCCGGGGATAAATCCTGGCTTCAGACCTGGCTGAATCCAGGGGCTCTGATGTGTATCGTCCCCATCCTAGAACCACCTGCCTTGCTCCGATTGCTCCACTCTTCAATGGCTTCCTCTCTCCACCCCACTGCAAGGGTGATGAAAAAAAAATTCTCTAGATGAGATATAAAAATCTTTTTTTGTGTGTGACAAGACTGAGGAGGATCTGTTTAGAATTTCAGGATTTTTTAAGTTAAAAAAACAAACAAACAAACAAAAACGGATGGCTTCAAAGTGCGCAAACGTTGGGCCAGTTCTCGTGACCTTCCCCGGGAGACTAGGGGCCCAGAGTGCAGGGGACGAGGAGGGACGGCCGGGAACCAGGGCGGGGAAACGCCGGCCTCGGTGACTCACTGGGGGGTCGGATTCCCGCCCCAGGCGGAGGAGCCCCCGGGTCCCTCGAGGGCCTGCAGTGCAGGACAGATCAGCCGGGGCAGCTCGGCGCGGGTGGGGTCGGGGCTTCTTGGGCCCCCTCCAGCTTTATTCACAACCTGCGGAACCCTGGCCTCCAAGTTCGGGCTCTGAGGTAAATCTCAGGTTTGAATACTGCCACCGCCGCGGCGGTCCGGTTTTGGCAAAGTCCTTTTCTGTCTCCAGGAACCTCAGTTTTCTCATCTCACGACCAACCCCAGGAGTTCTCTCCATGCAGGGTGAGAAACCAGGCTTATAGGTTTCCGGAGCTCTGAAAAAAGCCTGTCACACAGATGGGAGCGCGGCAGGAACAGCTAGCGGCTGACGCGGGTTTCCTGAGCGCGCCAGTGATGCGGGACCCCACGCTCTGCGCCTTACGCAGACCGTCTGAAGGCTCCCCACTCCCTGGGAAGGCGCTTCCCTGGGTAGCCCCGTTTCACAGATGGGAAAGCCGAGGCACAGAACGAACCGGGCCGTGCCCGGCTTCCACGCTAACTCTGTGGCTGGGTCGGGGTCTGGACTCGGCCGTTTGTGGCCCCGAGCCCGCCTCCGGAATCCGGCGCCGGGCGCCCTAGCCTTACACGCCCGACTGGCGCCTGGGAGCCGCCCCTCGGCCCCCTCCAAGTCTCCCGGGGGTCGGGTCTCACCGTTGTCACGACAACCGGGGGACCAATGGGAGCAGGCAGGCGGAACAGGCCCCGCCCCTCTCGGAGGGGCTCCGCGCTATAAGGTCGGGAGGCGGAACGGCGAGAGCTGGAGCCCGCGGAGCACAGGGAGGCCACGGAGTAGCCACAGCGTTGGAGCCAGCAAATCCCCCGAGCCACGAAGGGGCCTGAGCAGCAGCCACGATGTGCGGTGAGTACCGCGCCCGCGGGTCCCTGCGCCGTAGCCTCAGCGCCTCCGCCCCCCAGCTGGCGCCGAAGATCTGGCTGGGGAAGCGGATCCGCCCCGGGCCCCGACCGAGGTGCTGTTGTCCGCCGGACCTGCCTGTCCCTCACCCCCGTTCCTCCAGCGGCTGTCTCGGAGGTGTGGGAGGCGGATGCCCAGCCCGACTCTCGGTCTCGGACATAGAGAAGGGGACCCAGGCCTGGTCCTCACGGAGAGAGGAACTTGGTCCGGTCCGGCCTGGACCCCGTAACAGAGGGGTCCCTACCTTATGCTCACCGAAGCCGCTTTTCTCCACTTCTCCCAGTCGCTCACAAAGACAGACACGCGCAGGCCGGCGCATCTGGGTGCGGGGCGCCCATCCCGTCTAAGCCCGTCGCGCCCACCGAGGAGAGGAGAGGCGACCCCGCCCTACCGTCCCCGCAGCCCACCGGGTCGCCCTCGCGGCGTCAGTGTTCTGGGGCAGTGCCTGCGCGTCCTCCTCGCGACCCCATATGAACCTCTCCTCCCCAGAAGGGTTGGTGCGATGTTGCCTCCTCTTTGCGTGGGGAAGAGGCAGTCACTGCCCGAACCTTGGCCCGAAGCTACCAGAGGGAGTCCCGGGCGAGGAGCGGGGCCGGGCGTCGGATTCCCGCGGCGGCCCAGTGCTGTCCCGCTTGGCTGCGGGGCGGTGGGGAGGGTGGCCGCAGCCCTGAGTGCACATCTGCAATTCTTTACTCTCCTGGCTGGGCCGCCTCTGTTGGCCGGGAGAGAGCTGGGAACTTCTGCTGGGACAAAAGGTCACTGTGTTCTTTTTTTTCCCCCCTTGAATAGGATTCAGTTACCCATTACAGCCTCCTGTGGCTGGAGGACCTGGAGGAACTTTTGAAACCATGAAAGGCTTCTCTCTGACTTTGCTGAGGGCCAGGGTGGGGTGCGCCCCCCCGGTGAGCCCTGGCCGAGGTCTGTGCAGGCCTTGTTTCCGAGGCCAGCAGCTCAACAGAAGGGAATGACCTAGGTGGAGCGGACTGCCTGCTTGGGGAGGCAGCCGCTCCCACGCCCAACAGGCATCCACTGAAATTCCTGAACCCTCAGCTAAAATCTCGTACTCCCGGACGTCATTCGCCATGTATAGGGCCACCTTTGGGGTGTTTCTGGGGATAGAGATGAGGCAAAGGTGGCAGTTTTGCCAGATCTCAAAGCCCCGCAGGTTCCAAACCTCTCAGTATGGCATTCAAGACTCTTGGCCAAAACTGGTGGCCTTGGAGCCAGACTTGTGCCGGAGACCCTTGAACAGGAGGGTCTGTCCCCCTGCACCAGAGGCTCCCCTTCCCCCACCTTTCGGATGCCCCTCTGCCCCGACTGCCACCCCTGCCTGCCATCCTCCTTCCTAGTAGCATCTGGCTGTTTCGCAAGTCTCTGAGCTTTGGGGGGGCTCTACCTCCTCTAGCTCACAAAATCACAAGTGTTTTTGTTCTGCTTCTTAAAGGGCCACAGACATGTTGTCTCCTAGGGAAAGGTTGAGCTTCGGGTGTGACCACCTGTATCCTCACATCTTCTGGTACTGACTTGTGGTCGTATGTGAGAAAGAGCTTGAGTTCCCAAAGGACACTCAGAGCCCAGGAGTGGCTGCAGTCCATGGGGGTGCCCACTTGAAGCCAGAATCAGAGTGTGTGCTGGGATAGGTTCCTTCTTAGAATTCCCAGATTTGCTGATTTGAGGCTGGGGGCAGGGTAGGGGAGTGGGGAGGGCGCAGCTCAGCAGGAAGTCACTGAATCCCGGCATGGGAAAGTTATTTCCTTTTCAAGAACATCAGGAGAAAGTTTCAACTTGGTGGTATTGTGTCCTTAAGATCTCTGTGACACTTGCTAAGTATCCTTTGCACAGGGGAAGCTGTTCCTGGCTCAGAGCAGGCAGCAGCATTTGGCTAGAATTGAATACATTGATCTGTTTTAGCAGGGATGATGGTCTGAGAATGTATGATAAGCGATACTGATTTTCCTTTTATGGTTGTTTTCTTTCATCATGAATTCATTTACATCTTTGAAAATTTAATCAATTTCTACAGAAAAAAAGGAGTAATGATTGTGCTGTTGGTACAAGGATACTTCGAGACTCATGAAGATGCTCCTAGAAAGAACCCAGTAAGCTCTTCACTTCATGCTGGGGAAGCTGAGGCCCTGCGAAGTCTGTGCACACTTGGTGTCTGAGCAGGCCTCGTGTCTCAGATCTCCTGGGCTGCTCCCACAGGCACAGAGACCAAAGGCCCTTCCTTATCACTTGGCCAGTGACCCTGCAGAGATTATGTCTTGCTCTCTCTTATCCTGCTGCTTCTCCCATGGGAAGCCAGGACAGTAGTTGATCCTCTACAAACACCAGATGATTCTCAAAAACCATGACACTCAGGTTTTATAGATATCTGAAAGTTGCCAGCATTTCCTCCCTCTCTCTCTCCTTTTCTTCCTTTTTCATTCAGCCACTAGTGGAAATGTCCTGTGTTTTCCAGGCCCTAGAGGACTTGAAGATCTCATGGGTGTGATCCTCCCCTCAAAGAAGGGGCAGGTGAGCTGCAGGGCCAGTCTAGAGACTGGTCACCAGCAGGGACGGGATGCCCATCAGCAGACGGGATGCTGCTGCCAAGAAAGGCTTGAGCACGGGCTACAGCCTGTTAGAAGACTGGCTGATCCAGGAAGACAGACATCTTTTTGTTTGGTGCATAGGGTTTAAACCTTTTCTTATATTAGTTACCAAAGTATAAAATTGGGAGATTTCATGTAAGTAGGTGGGAGTTTTGGCTTCCCTTGATAAAATCTGAAGATGAGCAACCCTGAGTCCTTATTTCCAAATAGGGCCTTAGTGACCCCTTGGGTGATGGACACAAACTCCCCTGTTCTCCCAGCCCCTCCCAGCTGCTTCACTCACTGATGGGACTCTGCACAACAGAGGCAGGAACTGACTTTCCTAGGAAGAAAAGGAGAGACCTGGGGCAGTGCCAAAAAGACCTGGACACAAGTATGAGCCCTGCAGAGAGAAGGGGGGTGGCAGGCATGCTGGGCTAGGGACAGCATGAGCCGGGGTGTGGCAGCATGGACAATGCATTCGTGGGGATTTGGCAGAAAGGATTTGTGCTTCCCATCACGAATTCGTAAACCATCCCTGTGCTTTCCTTACTGCACTTAGTCATCTGTGAGGGAGGAAAAAAAAGCAATCACAGTGAAGAATTGGAGAATTATTAGTTCTTGCCAGAAGGTGAAGCACTTACCTTGACATCACCATCTTTTATCTTGGTTGGTGTATTCATCTCCTCTGGCTGTTGTAACAAATGACTGCAAACTTGCTGATTTTGAACAACAGAAATGTATTCTCTCTTTTTTTTTTTTAAGGAGAGAAGGAGAGGAAGAAAAAGAGGGAGAGAGAACGGAAATGTTGCTTTGTTCTAAAAAATGGGTATTAGTAATGGCCAATCAATATTTCATTTAAACATATGAGTAGGTGTAATGTGGTATTGACAAGAATGTATATTTTGTGTATTTAAAGTGGAGAGCTCTATAAATATTTATTAAGTTTACTTGTTCTGAATCTGAGTTCGAGTCCTGGATATCCTTATTAATTATCTGTCTCGTTGAGTCTAAATCTCTTTATAGGTCTTATGTATCTGGGTGTTAGGATCGTTAGCTCTTATTGTTGCATTGATCCTTTTACCACTATATCTTTGTTGCTTTAAAATCTATTTTATCAGATGCGAGAATTGCAACTCCTACTTTTTATTTATTTATTTATTTTTGCTCCCCATTTGGTTGGTAAATCTTCCTCCATCCCTTTGTTTTGAGTCTTTGTGTATCCTTGCATGTGAAATGGGTCTGGATGTGGCATACTGTTGGGTTTTGGCTATATCTTTTGATTGAGGGATTTAGTCGATTTAAATTTAGGATTACTGCTATTTGATGTTAACTGGCTGTTTTATCCATTCGTTGATGTAAATTCTTCTTTATGTTGATGCTCTTTACTTTTTGGTATATTTTTGGAAAGGCTAATACTGGTTATTTCTTTCTATGTGTAATGCTTCTTTCAGAAGCTCTTGTAAAGCAGGCCTGGTGGTAATAAAATCTCTGAGTACTTGCTTGTTCATAAAAGATTTTATTTTTCCTTCAGTTGTGAAGCCTAGTTTGACTGGATATGAAATTCTGGGCTGAAAGTTCTGTTCTTTAAGGATGTTGAATATTGGCCCCCACTCTCTTCTGGCTTGTAGAGTTTCTGCTGAGAGATCTGCTGTAAGTCTGATAGGCTTGCCTTTGTGGGTAACCTGACCTTTCTCTCTGGCTGCCCTTAGTATTTTCTCCTTCGTTTCAACCCTGGTGAATCTAACGATTATGTGCCTTGGGGTTGCTCTTCTTGAGGAATATCTTTGTGGTGTTGTCTGTATTTCCTGGGGTTGAGTATTGTCCTGCTTTGCTAGGTTGGGAAAGTTTTCCTGAATAATATCCTGAAGAATATTTTCCAGCTTGGATTCATTCTCTCTGTCGCATTCAGGTACACCTATCAGATGTAAATTAGGTCTTTTCACATAGTCCCATATTTCTTGGGGACTTTACTCAAATGTATTCTCTCACAGTTCTGGAGACCAGAAGTTCAAAATCGGTTTTACTGGGCCCAAATCAAGGTACCTTCAGGGCTGTGCCTCCTCCAGAGGCTCCAGGAGTGAATCCACTGCCGGCCCCTCCCAGCTCCTGGGGGCTGCCTTGTTCCTTGGCTCAGGGCAGTGTCGGTCCAGTTCCAGTGCTGGCGGCAGCCCTCCACTGTCTCCTCAGGGCTTTCCCAATTTCAGAAAAACCTTATTTTTATATCTTTATGGTATAGCATCAGTAAACAGTGCTTTTAAATGGAGAGATTATTTTTGTATCTAGCAAAATTCGCTTATAAAGAGAGATTAATTTGAGGTTATAATTTTGAGAGAAAATTCTGAAAATGAATTCCACAATAAAACAATTAAGCTATTTAGGTATTTTATTTTTATTTTAGAGGCTGGGTCTCACTCTGCTACCTACGCCGGAATGCAGTGATGCGATCATGGCTCACTGCATCCTTCAACTCCTGGACTCAAGCCATCCGCTTGTCTTGGCCCCTCAAAATGCTGGGATAAACGCAGGAGCCACTGTACCTGTCCCCTTTTCTTAGGAATTTTTTTCTTTTAATAAAATTTAGAGTATATGTAGCTTCCCACTTTGTTTTTGGTGAAACTGTGAGAATGACTGGAACACTAGCAACTTTTCTATTAAAAAATAGAAATACCTTGTCCAGGTTATCTCAGGAAGCAGAGTCTATTATCTCATGGATTACAGCAGTGAGGTAACTTTAAGCCCTGCAGTCCCAAAGAGGCCTGGGGAAGGATAGGGCTGTCTCCAGGGGAGCCAAGTCCCCTTCTTACCCTGAGCTGGGTGTTCGGTCTGCTCAGGACCCCCACCAGGCCTGAGACTCCTCTGCCTTTCTGTAAGAGCCTGGCATGGAATCACATACGTCTGCAGCACCTCCAAATTTGATCCCCTTTCTGCAAGGAGGTGGCAGGAATTGTCATCCCCGCTTCACCAACAAGTGACCTTTCCCAATGTATGAGAATGAGGGCTGGGTGGTCAGAGAGGCCACAGCTCCTCAGCAGCCCTTGCTCAAGGCCCAGGGGACTCCCCACAGCTGTGGGCCTCACCCAGGAGAGTGGACGTGTCCCTCTTCCCCCAACACACATAGGCAGGCCCAGGCACACACGTGCACACACTGGGGAATTTCATGAGCAGTCATTGAG